GAGAGAGAGAGAGAGAGAGAGAGAGAGAGAGAGAGAGAGAGAGAGAGAGAGAGAGAGAGAGAGTTGGGAGGTGGGGGGACGGGGAGGGGTAATAGGCGTAGTCCCTTGACGAGTATACCCTTTGCCACTGTCCATGAATTATACCACAAATGTGAACACTATTCATGCCTCTCAGGACAGCGCTGGTGTGAGTATATATGGCCTTGAAAGAGGAAGGGTCAAATATAAGCTGCGACTTGATTGAAAAAAAAAAAAAAAAAAAAAGAATAAGAGTAAGAGAAAAGGGAAAGAAAAAGCGGCAAAAACAAAAAGAAGAAAAAAACGAAAGGGAAAAGCGGCAAAAAAAAAGAGAAGGAACAAAATAGTGAATAGTGAAAAGCGGTCTATGGGCCATAGACTGCTTCTCGCACACGCATGGACAAAATAAGTATATTTCACTTCTTCTCAGTTGAAAACGCGCACACAAAAAAAAAAAAAAAAAACACAAAACGCACGTGTACAGTTCTCAGTTGAAAAGGCGCAAATTCCCCGACGCGTTTCTTCGGCTAATCAGGCTGCTGCGCTCCTGGCACTCACTCCTCAGGGGGCATCTCCCCAGATCCGCCCTACGGCCCCACCCTGCCTTGCTGGCACGCACTCCTCAGGGGGCATCTCCCCAGGCAAGCAAAGCTGATGACAATTGGGGCGTACGCAGAGTAGGGACTTTTGTGTCCGCCGGTATCAAACCGTATTGACGGCCAGATTCACTCGTAAAAGTTGTAGTGTGCGTATGCTCTTATCCACGTGGCATGGAGATAGATGGGAAAGATGATGATGATGATGACTGATGATGAGAATTGGTGATGATGATGAGGATGATGAGGATGATGATGGGTTATTGATGAAGAAGATGAGTGGTGATTGATGAAGATGATGAGGAGGAGGAGAAGAGGAAAGGGAGGAGGGAGAGGAGAGAGAAGGAGGAGAAGGAAGAACAGGAGGAAAATGAGGGAGAGGAGAGATGTGGGAGACTTGATGATGATTGATGATGATTGATGATGATTGATGATGATGATTGGTAATTAGTGCTTGGTGATTGAAGAAGATGATGAGGAGGAGGAGGAAGAGGAAACGGGAGCAGGGAGTGGGGAGAGAAGGAGAGGAGAAGGAAGAAGAGGAGGAGGGGGGAGAGGAGAGAATGGAGGAGGAGGAGGAGGAGGAGGCAAAGAATCGACGTAGTTGCAATGCGTTGAATTATCTGGATGAAGATTATAATTTTATAGAAATTAGTATTTCATATTAAAAAAATCATGATATTTTATTTTGATTACTGTAAATGATCTGGTTATAAAAATAGTTGGGATTACCGCAGATGATTGAAGGGTACATACGTACGTACAATGAAGTAACTTCAAGTAAGTGATTTTTTTTTTTTTTTTTTTTTTTTCTTGCAAACTCAGATTGTCTAGGATGGATAACTTTGGGGTCTACGGCACTTTGCTTTTTCCTTTTTCCCAAAGGAAATGAACAACCATGATGTCGATTATATTAAAAACGCATGCGGATAAACTTTGGTATAGTTTGTTTTAATTAATTTTAATTAAAATTAATTAATTATATATTAATTGCACGTGGCATTTTGCTGAACTTCTATCCCTCCTTTTTCGAAAAAAACTGCGCCCGTTAAGATAAAGCTGTTTTTTCTACTTTTTTTTTTGTTTTTACCGTAAATTTAAAGGAACTGACGGGTGGTAGGAATGAATTTACAGAAGAAAAAAATTACGCTCATGTCGTTTGCTGATTGCTTCAAGAAGGGGGAGAGAGAGAGAGAGAGAGAGAGAGAGAGAGAGAGAGAGAGAGAGAGAGAGAACAAGCTGATTCCTTCACTAGAAATAGTGTGTTGTCCTTGTCACATCCTGCATGAGATGGGGCTGATACGCATGTATCTAGTCGCTTTACCAGGAGGACAAACGAGAGACAACGAGAGAGAGAGAGAGAGAGAGAGAGAGAGAGAGTACTCCGACTGGTGGCCTGACCGCCTTTCCCACTTCCCACTTCCCACACTCCCAGTATCCTACCGTCTACACCCGAATAGAACACGAGGTCATTATAGCTGTATTTGGTGCATCTTTCAGTCCAGATGCGGCAATAATTACCGGGCGTTCTATTCGGGTGAAGACGTTAGCCTATATACATGTCAGACTCTGTCCGCATGTCACTCACAGGATGCTGCTTGAAGACTCTGGTCACACAGGCTGCCTTCGGCATCACCAGCTATGTGCCTTGGTGCCCACTGCCTCTCTTCTCTCTCCCGTCGATCACCACACCATCACTCAGCAAGCTTGCACCCCATCAGCATTGACTGCTGCCTTCTCCTTCCTCTCGCTGCCACCGCAGCAACAGGGATGTCGCTGTCGGTCGCAGAGCTCAGCCACCACACCAGCCAGCAGTGCTGCCGCATCGCCTCCTCCTGAATGACCTGAAAGGCCGAATGTGCTCTCACGTAGGCCTCTCTCTAGACTTCTGTGCAGGACGATGACGGCTGGGCCTGGCTTCGGCCTATCCCAGTACCAGGGCCAGTAGGCAGTCTCTCTGGTGGTGTACTGGGCTGCGTCCAGAAACCCAGCTTCTTTTTTTTTTTTTTTTTTCTCCGAAACCCAGCTTCTGTAACCAACTCAGTGTTTTTTTTTTTTTTTTTTTTTTTTTTGGACTAACTCAGTGTTTGGCCCCGCGAGTTAGAGCTGCAGAGCTTGGATTTCACTACAGTCTTCCCTCGAACACAACGCACCCTCATTTTGGCTGTATCTGGCCGGAATATAGCTTGTATACATTCATTTTTAGGGTGCGTTATGTTCGGGGGAAGACGGTANTTGTATACATTCATTTTTAGGGTGCGTTATGTTCGGGGGAAGACGGTAGCATGCAAAAAGGGGACCCCTCGCCGGCCTTGACTTAGGGCCTGAGTGAAAAACTCAGGCCCAAAACTCAGGCCCACCTTCATTTAAGGGGTGGGGTGGGGGTAAAATCCTCTCATTCCCTCCTCCCCCTCAGGTTCGAGAGCTCTCTGAGAACACTTCATTTTTGTTTGTTTTTTTTTTGTTTTTTTTTTTAACACTTCGTTTTTTCGAGCTGGTGCTTTCCCTTTTCAACCCCGTTCATATTGATGAACGATCTATGGTGATCCTCTTTAAACCCCTTTAAACCCCTTCAGCAGCTCATCCTTCGTGAACCGCTGATTCTCTTTAGGGTCCTGGGTGATGTCTGAAGACCATTCTGTACTGCATCTGTTGGCCTTTGGGGGTCTTCCTCTTCCTGGGGGCTTCTGTACAGGCATCACCTTGTGCTTAACAATTTGATCTATGCACACTTATCCGTCCATGGTAGGGGGCAGCAATCAATCAATCAATCAATCAATCAATCAAAAAACAATCAAGCAATCAATAAATTTTTTTTCTATTTTTTTTTTTTTTACACACCGAAAACGACCCCCCCGAAAATAATTTTTTTTAACTTTTTTTTGTCGCCGAGAGGGCAACCGCCGAGAGGGCAACTGATCTTTTTTTTTTTTTTTTTTTTTTTTTTTTACTGATCTGTGTGGGAGAAAGGTGAGATTGTGGAAGGATGAAAAACAGGGTGGGGGTGCATACGCTATTCCTTTGGGTCATCCGTTAAAAGTGGAATGATACAGAGAATGAAGATTAGCATGGCCCCTGCGCAAGTAAAGATGACATGCATAAATCGAGAAATGGTCCAAAAAAAAAAGGGTAGGTGCACAAGGGATTTTCAAAAAAAAAAAAAAAAAAAAAAAAGGAGAAACAGTCTGGAACAGCAATAGTGTACGATGGAGTCGATGGGCGATCAGTCAGGATCTGATCCTACGATTTCAACTACAGTATTGTGGCATCTGTTTCCGTGATATATCCTTCTTTTTTTTTTTCTTTTTTTTTTTAATACCAAAAACAGAACCTTACGGTTCTGGCTCCTTTTCCGTTATTCTGGGGAATCATCAGTCCGGTTCCTATTCCCCTTCATTCCTGTTGAAGTCAACATGAATTACAATAAGTACACTCACACACGCTCCTGCCCCTTTATGGTAGGAAGGCCTGAAGCCGAAGGGCAGCATTGATTACTTCGGGAAGGAAGGATGTACCTGCCCTCACCCCTGGCTGAAGTTAGCCTCTTTTTTTTTATAACCAAAAACAGAACCTTACGGTTCTGGCTCCTTTTCCATTATTCTGGGGAGCATCAGTCCGGCTCCTATTCCCCTTCATTCCTGTTGAAATCAACAGGAATTACAACAAGTACACTCACACATGCTCCTCCGCCTTTATGGTAGGAAGGCCCGAAGCGGAAGGGCAGCATTGATTACTTCCGGAAGGAAGGATGTACCTGCCCTCACCCCTGGCTAAAGTTAGCCTTTTTTTTTTTTTGGAAATTTGCTCCATCTATTGGTGGGGAGCAACACCCGCTGGAAACCAGGTCCAGCGTCCCTGAACAATAAGAAGGAAGGAGTGCCTGCCAGCATTGATTACCCTGCTGGATCCCAATGACTTCCTTTTCTGTCGATTAATACTTGGTTTGCTGTATGGGACGTTCCCTCTTTTTTTTTTTTTTTTTTTTTTTTTTTGATAAAAGAGGTCCTTATGGTCCTGGCTGAATATCCATTTCTGGGGAGCGTCAGTGCGGTTCCTAGATTGTCCCTCTCTATTTTTTTTCTAGAATAGCACGCAAATCCTGGACTGAAAGCTGCACCAAGTACAGTGATCATGACCGGGCGTTCTGTTAGGGTGAAGACGGTAGGATGAGAAGTTGCCGCTCGTGGCTGCTAGTCTGTACAATAACGCAGTTCATTCTACCACTGGCCAGATGCCAAGTCAGCTCCATCTGGGATAGGAAATCTAGGACTAGCAGCCATGAGACATCAAATTCATACGGTCTTCCATACTCGATGCACCAAGTCAGCTCCACTGGCCAGACTAGCAGCCATGAGACATCAAATTCATACGGTCTTCCATACTCGATGCTACCCCGGTGCTGCTTTAGATCTAGACTCGGGAAACAGGAAATCCAAGTGTCCTAGATTTCCTATCCCAGATGGAGCTGACTTGGCATCTGGCCAGTGGTAGAATGAACTGCGTTATTGTACAGACTAGCAGCCACGAGCGGCAATATAATAGCACGCAAATCCTAGACTGAAAGCTGCACCAAGTACAGTGATCATGACCGGGCGTTCTGTTAGGGTGAAGACGGTAGTCAGTCTGATTGGGCTTGATTGATGTAGTAGTGCCTTAATGGTTACTGTACAAGCTCGTTCATCTGTTCAGCTTGTCTGTGCGTTTCGGGATGGTTCCCCCTGAAGTCATTTGCAATTCAGATCCCATCTGCAGTTCTGTCTTCTGCTATAGTTCGCGAGTAAAATGCGCATCTCTGTCGTTCACTATGGATTTAGGCAGTCCAAAGTCTTTTACCCAGTGATCAGAAAACTTAGCATTGAGTCAATAGACCAGTTTAGTCTTTTGCTGTTTCAGGCAAAGGTATTATTTAGGCGCGCACATTTTGAAAATCTGTCAACAATAATGTAAGTAATGACCTGCAAAATTGCAGACTGAAAAATCTGCTGTTTCCCGAGTATTGCTGTGTGCTGGACTGGTTTGCTGAGATTTCGTGTTCTGCTGAGTATTTGCTGATGTCCCGTGTGCTTTCCCACTCGTCTGAGTGCCGTGTGTGTGTGTGTGTGTGTGTGTGTGTGTGTGTGTGTGTGTGTGTGTGTGTGTGTGTGTGTGTCACCTGCTGATGGTGGTTTGCGTGCTGAAATGGCCTGCAGGCCTGGTACTGGCCTGTGGCCGTGTGTTCTGGGGGTTGCAGCCGGTAGGATAGGCGGAAAGAGGCCCGTGGAGACCAAAATTAGGAAGTAGAGGGTAGGATAGTAGAAGAAGACGAAAAGGTGGTACCTTTTGTTGGCCGAGGTCGTAGGTTCGAGGCCTGGTGGACTCCGGGGTACGTACCAGTCTGTTAGGTTAGACTCCGTTAGAGTCTAAAGCCTGCAACGGGGGGAATATCAGACTGCATGGATGTTCCTGCCAAAGAAGGGGAGGCAACCGGTATGCTCAGAGGCCGAATACCTTGGAAAGTGCCCACCGTGGAGGCCCGGTGGACTCAGGGGTATGCACCGGTCGGGTAGGCTAGAGTCTAGAGCCTGCAACGGGGGAAATATCAGACTGCATGGATGTTCCCGCCCACGAAGGGGAGGCAACCGGTAGGCTGAGAGGCCGAATACCTTGGAAAGCGCCCGCCGTGGAGGCCCTGAGCCGTGGAGGCCCAGTGGACTCAGGGGTACGCACCAGTCTGGTAGGTTAGAGTCTAGAGCCTGCAACGGGGTAAATATCAGACTGCATGGATGTTCCCGCCAACGAAGGGGAGGCAACTGGTAGGCCGAGAGGCCGAATACCTTGGAAAGCGCCCGCCGTGGAGTGCAGCTGCGGCATAATTAAAGAAAGAGCACTGCACTCCGGCTCATTCTTCAGGCAGCAAGCCGGGAGGATGCTGGAGCGCTCACCAGCTGGGTGAGGCATTGGTTGGAGGACAAAGGCGGAGCTTGGCCCCCACCTTGGCTATGGTGGAGGAGACCAAGGCGGAGGAGGAAGGCATGGCTATGGAGGAGTGAGGAAGAAGAATGAGGAGGAGGAGAATGAAGAAGCTTACGTGTTGTGGTCTCCATCTTGATCTTCTTGGTCAGCTCTGCACCTGCAAGGCCCTTAGTGGGGTGATACTTGGAAGGAAGACCCGGTGGATGGAATGTGGCATGGAAGCCATAGGGGGAGAGCCATAGCAGCCTTGCTTTGTCGTTTGCACATTGGAGCCTAGCTCCGATGATCTGCCATAACCACCTGCTTGGCCAAGTAGTAGAAGGAGGTGTGGGATGGCTATGGTGGGCTTCTTGAGTGGCTGGCAGTAAGGAGAGGATTCAGACACGTTGGCTCTGGTTCATTCGTTCATTCATTCATTCATTCATTCATTCGTTCATTCTGGCAGCCATATATTAATATGATGGTGGGAGAGATGCTGGTGGTAGATGGTAGGGGTGGCATTGGTTCTCGCTCGTGTTCTTCTTCTTCTTCTTCTTCTTCTTCTTCTTCTTCTTCTTCTTCTTCTTCTTCTTCTTCCTTCCATTCTCCATTCGTCTTCCTCCTTTGCCTATCTCTTTCCGATCTGCTTCATTTCAGTTGCAATTGAATGAGATTGTTTTTTTTGAGTTTTTGCACTGTGAGATATCCAGGATCATAACAATAACACAAAATTGCCTGTTCCCTTTACTTCTGGTCACTCGAGTGTCCATGAAGTTCATGAACTCCATCGTGCCCACCTCTCCCACCTCCACCCACCTCCACCCAACTCCACCCACCTCCACCCCCCTCCACCCACCTCCACCCACCTCCACCCATCTCCACCCATCTCCACCCATCTCCACCCATCTCCACCCATCTCCACCCATCTCCACCCACCTCCACCCACCTCCCGCCCAACACCCACCACATTGCACCACCTCCTGCCCACTTCCCTCCTACCTCTGCCCACCTCAATCGTGCCACCTCCCACCCAGTTCCCACCCAGTTCCCACCCACCTGCGCCCACCTACATCGCGCCACGAGCCCACCTACATCACACCACCTCCCAAGCAAGGTCCCACTACCCAAGACGATTGTTTTAAACTCCCAAATCTGGACGTGTTTGGGGAAAGGTGCAGAATATCACAATTGATCTGCTTTTCTGGATCTCCACCGGGGACCCAGATCCTCGCAATAATAAGAATAATCATAATAATCTCAATTGCTATCATCTATTTCTTCAAATCTTCCTTTTCGCTTTTTTTGGCTTTTGGTTATTCATTTCTGACATTTATTTATTTTGTTGTTTGTTTCCAGGTCAGCGCCCCCGGCGGCCACGTCATCCTGCAGAGGGCATTGGTCGCAGCAGGGAGGATTCAGTACACCGACGACTGAAGGCCTTTCACGAAGGACGGACTGGTCCGCCTCTGCGAATCATTCCGATTGGCGGATTGGGCGAGATCGGGATGAACTGCATGCTCATTGGGCACTACGACCGGTACATCATGGTGGACGCGGGGCTCATGTTCCCAGAGTAAGTGGCACCGCGTCAGCAAATTATGTGTTTAGCAAACGTCATTCTGACACTTTGGATGGCTTTTTCGGTGTAACTAGCTGCAGTATGTTTTTTGTTTTTTTTTGTTTTTTGTTTAATTTGGAACATTTCTCGATTTATGTGTGTCACTTGTGCAGGGGCCATGCTCATCTAATACAATTACTAATTCAATACATTGAATATATTAATATATTCAATGAAAAAAAATATATAAATAATTCATGAAATTGTTTTTTCTCTAAAAATCCATACTTTGATTCCTAAGACTCCATAAATTGTATGTCGTGCCGATTTAAACGGATGTGCCCAAGGACCGCAGTACGCAATCGTCATTCCCGGAAAACACCATTGCAGCCTGCAATTCGGTAAGACGCGGAAGCAGCCAACGACTGCTCAGTTAGTCTCCGACGCCTCGACTGAGCGACAACTCGTCGGAGACTCTGGGCCCAAAAGAAAAACAAAGCGGCTCTGGGCCCAAGCGCTTTCCCAAGTCCCATGGGACAGTGCCACACGAAATCACTGCAAGGAAATGAGAAATGCGAACAGCTATAAACCAAATTGCAATGTCTGGCCTAGTAGCTCAGTTGGTACACTCCCCCTGGACTGAACTGTTGAAATACAGACCAAGTGCTGAGTTCGAACTCCACTGGAAGCAGACGAGTAAAATACGGTAGGATTCTGAATTACCTGGGGCCGCTCAGTTCAAATGATGATATCTCAAGGCCGTAGGCCTTTTTTTTTAGATGGAAAAATAAATAAATAAATAAATAAATAAATAAATAAATAAATAAATAATTTAATAAATAAATAAATAAATAAATAACCTACGACGTCTCACAGAAGACCAGATGTGATTGACCTGAAACTGAAAGCAGAAAGCAAAGCAAGATCACACCAATAGGAGCGAGCACAGCATTGAAGTCGCTTGATAATGAAAGCCCTCCCAATGCCTCCAACCACCAATTCAACGAGCATGTAGCTGACGTACTGGTGGCTATCCGCCTGGCTTGGACTACTGACAGACGGTGTCAGATGCTCCTGTCAACCTCTACCTTCTTCCCCCGAATACAGCGTACGGTCATTATAGCTGTATTTGAGGCATCTTTCAGTCTAGATACAGCTATGATGACCGTACGTTGTATTCGGGGGAAGACGGTAGCCTAATATGCTACAACAGGTCCCATGTGAAGTCAGCCCAATGCCGGGTGAACACTCGGATTGAACAGTCTGCCTTCATCAAGACCAGGTACGGGCGTCGTCACAGTGCCCCTCAACTCCTCCTTCTGTACATCTCCTTCTTCTTCCCCACAGCCCTTCTCCTTGCGAGGAATTCCGCGACTCCACCACTTGGCTATGGTGCCTGCAGCTCAGCTATGGCTGCCGGACCTCCTTCGTCCTCACTGTGACCACGCAGCTTCCTCCTCTTCCCACTTGCGCTCGAGCAGCACTGCCACATGCTGAATGCGAGAATGTGTGAATGAGGTGTGCCCTCCAGCCCTTTTGTGTTGGCTGGAGAGGCCGAGGAGGTTCTGCCGAGGCTGTGCCCTGTCCCAGTTTGCTGCGCCCTGGGCCTTTCGAGAATCTGCACGAGGGCCTTCCTGAATATGCCTTAGGCCCAGCATCTGCAACTGACCCGGTGGTTGGGCCTACCTGTTAGTTGAAGATGCTGCGCCTGCAGCAACCACCCGAGGCCCCAATTCTGATCATCACATTGGCCTGTACTCAGGCCGGGGCTCACTTTTGCTGACCGGCCTTCACTTAGGGCGGGCAGGGCAGTTTCCTGGCATTGCCAAGGTCCTGAATCCTCGCGTCACTTTTCACTTAAGAAAATATATATTATGTAGATCAGGGTTGCATACCCGCCAACTGCCTACCCCGACGGCCGACCGTTCTGCAGCCTACCGGTAGAGCCGATCGGTCGGTGGTCTGCTGACTGGTCAGTAAACAGACATCCACTGATTTTTTTGAAAATCTGACTATGGGCCTGTACTGCGCTTGCTGAGTGCAGCCCAAATTCGCTGAGAAACCTTTGGGGATGGGGAGGGGGGGTACGAAGGGGGTTATGTGGGGGGTATAGGGGGGGTATGAGGGGGTACAGGGGTGGTATAGGGGTTATGGGGGGGGGGGGTTATGAGGCCTCGTGTTGGTGAGGTGTATGGGGGGTGCTATTGGGGGTTATGGACTCGCCGACCACTGACCGGTAGGTGCCGACCAATCAAAAGGTGCTGACCGCCGGCCTGTGCAACTCTGATGTAGATAGGTGATAGATAGATATGAGAGGAAGGTAATTCTGTGAGGTAGATGAAGATGGTGAGAAGGGAAGACGATGACGTCATATATTGCATCATCGTCGTCGTCTTCCTCTTCTTCTTCTTCTGATTCCACTTCTCCGTCTTGAGTTGCAAAAATATCGCATTTCTCAAAGTTGTCTTGCATTGTGAAATGAGCAGGATCACGTCATATATTAATTCTTCGTTGTCTGGGACTCCCAGTCCTTTGTGGTGTGTGTGTGTGTGTGTGTGTGTGTGTGTGTGTGTGTGTGTGTGTGTGTGTGTGTGTGTG